CCTGGTGAGTTTTGCTAGGAGCCTGGACTTCATCCCCAGGGCAAAGGGAACTGAAAAGGGGGTTAAAGCTGGGCAAACTGGGCGGGGGTAGGAGTACTGCTTGCTCTGTGGTGGGCAGAGGTTGGCAACAGCTTGACAAGTAGGAGGTAGAGTGCGGGCCTTCGGGGTCTTCATTCCGAAGGCCTGCAGCTGATCCCAGACCTCCAGAGGGGATGGCGGCCTCCCCAGGCTGAGCTGCAGCCTGGAGCCTGGCCAGGACTCCACTCCTGGGCCACGTGAGCCAGCGCTGGCTGGATGATGTGTGCTGGGGTGTGTCGTTGCCTCATTTGTTGGCTGGAGGGCTGGGCAAGAGAGAGCCTGCTGCCTGCCCCGAGGAGGAGCAACTGGCAAAGTCCAGGGTTACTTTTCCCATTCTTCAATGCAAAAATGACGCCTCTTTATGGCGCTATCAATAACCGCTCGCCTCTCCTGCTGCCGCAGTGGCCACATACATAATATTTAAACCACATTGGTGGATGACAGAGACAGACGGATATTTTTAATCCCAACAGACTATTACAGTTCATATCATGTCTGTCAAATAAATATTATGAATCATTTCCCGTTATCTTTATGGGGGCAAGTTGGCGACATCAGGGGATTGGGTAGGGAGGCTTTTCTCTTAATATTTATCCAGTTCGTATGTATATGTATGTGAACAGAAAATTTATGGAGCAATTGTCGATAATAAATGCCCCGATAAAACACATTATCTCCTCGCTTGATGGGCTACATGTGGAGAGGGGAAGGGCGGATGTGGCAGGTGAGTGTGCTGCCTAGACTCAGGTGAGGCTGCGATCCTGTCCCAGGCGCAGTCTCCGCTGGTGCTCTCAGCTTCTGTGATGTGTTCATCTACTGCCCCTGGTTATCATCTCATTTTAAGCCAAAAAAGTCCTCTGTGGTTCATTGATCCTTTCCTCCTATCTTACAGAGGAAGAGAATGAAGTTCACAGAGGGCCTTTGTCCAAAATACAGGAGAGTTAGTGGTTTGGGCCTCTTCCTCCTGCTACCCTCCCAGCACCTTGTCTTCCAAGTCCATCAGCTGTCCTTTCTCTCTGGTCTCCAATCTTACCTGCCATTTCCTGCCCTGCGTGTTTGACCCACACTCTGTGGGAAGGCAGGTGCTGTGGTTCTCTGGATGTAGGGGTGTAGGCTGACAGCCTTCTGGGGGGCTACTGGCTGGTGCCCATGGTGCTGGGTCCATTGTGAGACCCAGAGTCTGGGACTCTGCTGCCTCGGTCTCAATCAATGTTTCCACCTATGGGATGGGGAGTAGGGTCTTACCATGCTGAGAAGGCACTAGAGGAGATGGTGGACTGTAGGCATGGCACCTCGAAATACAAGCATCCTCTCAGGTCTCTGATCTACCCACATCCCTCCACTCTTCCCCAGCTTCCTTGGAACTGCTTAACATCGTCTTGGGCTTGGAGTCTTTGGAGACTCCTGAAGTTCAGAGGTTCTTGCTCAGGGCTGCCCCCCCAATCCTGGTCCCTCCCACAGAGGTCCTGATTGTAAGGTCCTGATCTGTCTCCCCCTGTGCTTCTCCACTGCTGGTGACAGACATAAGACCCCCTCTAGTACTGAAGACATTTCCCAGGGCCCTGACCCAGAAGTATCACTGTCCTTTGGGGCCACCAATCAAGACAGACAGAATTCCAAGTGGGGACAATCAGCTTTCTCCTTTACCCTCTGAAGAGACAGGCACGGAGACGGGGTTGAGATTGGACCCTTGTGCTAGTCACAGCGCCATATAGCTTTGCCTCTCTGATCTTTGCCTACTGTCATCCCACTTGGTTCACTCTCCAAACTGAGCCACAGGAGAGGTGACCAAGGGACTCTGTAGGTTAGGGTACTGGGGCTCAGAAGTGGGCCTGGCAGAATGCTAACTAGCTCCAGTCCCTTGTTGATGGCTCAGCACCCCAATCCCCTGCTAGCTACCACTAATTCAGGATCGGAACTTCCTGATCAAGAATATTCTATTGGTAATGGAATGAAGACAGCACACTCCTCTTTGAGTCAGGACCTGCTGGGCCTCAGCTGTCTGTCTGATGTAGCCTCAGGGTACCTAGCAACACCAGCCTTTAAAAACTCCATTCACTGGGTGATCCCTAGACTGTTTACAAGGCTGAGCAAAGGCAATGTGAGAAAAGGGCCCAAGTACCTTAAAAATCATCTTTCAGGGAGTTAAGAACAAGAAAACCCAAACAAACGGCTCTCAGATTGTAGGCATGAGCAGAGGGATATTACAATGGACGATTTTGGCTGCTGAAGCATGTGGCACAATGGCCAGGGTGGTTTCCCCATGGTCAGCTTAGATTCTGGGACAGCCACTGTCTCAGGCAGTTTCGTGTGGGTTCATTTACACCAAAGAGCCCAAGTTGAGGGGAAATCGGAACACAGTGGCCTCAGAAATAATAAGCCTGGTCATGTTTCCATTCCAGAACTGGAGGGTTTGAGGTAGGGCCCCCTCCAGCACTCTACCTGCCCTTTGTCCTGGGTACCTGTGTCCCTGTCCTGTTCTGTAAGGGACAGGGCTCAGAGCTGCTCAGCCTCTGTGGCTGCTGAGAATGCATGTGAGGCTGATCTGGATTAGCCTCGTGTGCGGCTGGATCCCCCGTGTTAGCCACTGTCCACCTATATCCTGGAAAGGCCCAGCTTCTTAGGAGCAGGTACTACCTCTGGAACCTTCCACTGTCCTTGTCCCCAACTAAGGTCCCCACATGGAAACCTGCCTGCCTAGGCCTGTCTCCCAGCTAGTGGTAAGGCTAGGGGAGAGCTGGGATGGGGAGGGTGCTGGATACCAGAGAATCAGGCTGTCCACCATCAGGAGGTGACCTCAGATGCCATGGCCAGCTTTGGGGACCTTCAGGCTGAGCTTTCCCCCTGACCTGCGTGTTGTGACCTGATGGCCAGGCTGGCTTACAGCTTCTTCCCCCCTCCAGGCCACTGCCATGCCAACCCTTCCACCTGGATGTGTCATTCTGACTCGACCAGACAAACATGTCCTTTCTTCATGACACAGCTCAAGGACCGGTCATGAGGAGGTCACCAGAGCCCCCGGCTGGCTGGGCCTTGCTCCCCTGTCCCTGTTGATGCTGCTTTGGTTCTGCCTGCACTGCTCTAACCTGAACTGAGGCTTGTGAATCTTCCCTATCTTGTGACAAAACAACTGCCAGCTGCCACGGCCTCCTCCTGGCCAGAAAGTCTCTACATTGCCTGGTTAGTCATTTCAAGTAAGGAGGGTGGGATTGTTTGCACTTTGCTGTGCAAGAGCAGAGTGGCCGGCTAGGCCACCCCACATTTGGGAGCAGAGCGGGGCTCTACCCTTGCCTTGCCCATCTTGGCCACACCTTCCCCGAGAATGGACTCTGCTGGTGTTTGTTGATGGCATGAATGGTCCACAGTATTGGAGACTAGGGATCACTGAAGTTTCTCATGCACCCTTCCTCATCCTCTCTGTTCTGAGACTCAGTGTGGGCAGGCTGTCTGCAGCTCACATATTCCACTGGCCATGGCAGGAAGGCCACCATGTGTGACCCTGGGGAGGGTAGTCCAGGGGGTCTTAGTTCTGATGTGACACCACTTCTCTAAGGTAAGGCTTGCTCTAGTCTATCAGCTCTCTCGCCTTGCTCTTGTCACAGGGAATTAGTTCTACCGACTCACTGCCCGCCAGAGGATTCTCAAAATGGCCCTGTCAAGGAAGGAGTCTGCTCCCCCCCTCCCCCCCGCCCCCAAGAGGGCCCAAAGGAGCTGTGCTCTCTTATGCAGGCACTACCAGAAGCACCACAAGTTGTGTGTCACACTAAGGGAACGGCTCAGGTTATTGGGCAGGCGTGGGAAAGGGGTCTGGTTTATAGCACAACCCAGAGCATTTAAAGGCCCCATTTTGTTCTTTCTCCCTCCTGTCCTGTATGGGCGGGTTTCCCAGACCCCATAGGAGGACCAGGGGTGGCCTTCCTCTGTGGTCCTTTCTGGGATGCTACTAAGAAGCATTTTTCAGAGGGCCCCATAACTGTTCCTCTTTACAGAGGAGAAAAAGTACAGTCCTGGAGTGCGCCCAGGCAGGACTTTCCTTTTTGTCTTGAGGGGAGGTGCTCTCTGTAGGTAGCATCCACTCTGTACAGCCTGTGGACTTTGGTAAGCCCCTCTGCCAGGGCCTCCACGCTGGATGTTGGTCTGGCAGGCACCAGCTGGGAGTGGAGGAAGGCGGGACTGTCGGTTGCCTGGCTTGGCGCAGGGGCACAGTGCGCTTAGGAAGGCTGGCTTGGCTCCACTCAGGTAGCTCACACCCAAATCCGAATTCTAGCTGCCCAAGACGGCAGGCGGGTTGCGGAGGAGGCCCAAGCTCTCCCTGGGTAGGAGTGCTTCCTTTCATTTTTAAACAAACAAATCATGAATTTAAAAGTCAGGGCAGAGAGCTGCCCAAGATATAAAATTAGCCTTGGGGCCACCGGCCAATGTCCGAAGCCAGCAGCAGAGTCTCTCGAACCCTGAGCCTTGGGGGAAGGGGGGCGTCGGGTTAACGTGGGTACACGGAGCGGGGGGGGGGGGGGGG